TCATTTTGGTGTAGTGGCTAGGAGCACAGACTCTGATCTGGGAGAATCGGGTTTGATTCCCCACTCCTCCACATGCAGCTGCTGGTGTGACCTTGGGTCAGTCACAAGTTCTTTCAGAGCTGTTCTCTCAAGGGCAGTTCTCAGGAGAGGTCTCTCAGCCCCACCTACATCACCGGGTGTCTGTTGTGGGGAGGGGAAAGGAAAGGAATTGTAAGCCGCTCTGAGACTCCTTTGGGTAGTGAAGGGTGGGGTATAAACCCAATCTCTTCTTCCAGATTATGCCCCCCCAAACCCCTATGAGGTAGGTTAGGCTGAGGCTGTGTGACTGGCCCAAAGTCACCCAGCAAGTCTCTATGGCAGAGTGGGGTTTCCAACCTGGATCTCTAACCATTTCACCACCCTAGCTCTCAGTATGGTGTATGTGAAAAATACAATCTCCCTCTAAAAGAAGAGCAGTTTGGAAAGCAGACATACAGACTGTGAGTTAAGAAGCAAAGGATGTATTCCAATAAGAAACAAAGGATGTATTCCAACATCACAACCTTGCCTGGTTTATTCTTGGGTTTCTACCCCTGCTCCTTCCAACCATGCGCAGAACTGAGACTGAAGACTTCCTGTTTCAGGAAGTCTACAATCCAACTTCAATTTCGTGTGACATCTGAATTTAGCCTCTTCAACAAACTGGAGTTTGTTTTTTATCCACAAATCAGGATTCTAAAGGATCTAGTCTTATGGGCAGGAAACAAACTCATAACAAACTGAGGTTATATAAACCAGAACATCTTTAGTCTTAGTTCCATGCACAATAGGAACAAGGAGACAGTGGACAATACCAAAAATATTGCCATAAACTCCAGTTTGTTTATGACATCTGAATACAGGGAAATGTTTATTTATTGCATGATTGACCCAGCCTTGTGAATGGTCCCTTAAAACTAGTTCTGTGCTTCTTAGGTCAGCTCAGAATGAGGGTATCAAAAGGGGGGAACCTCTGGTAACCAATGCCAACCAAGAGGCAAGACAGATTCATAGCTAGATGTACTAAAATCTTCAGAAAGAAAAACAGCACGTTCTTTGACACTATTTCATGCCGGATGAGAGATGAAATCCGATCACAATGAACAGTATTTACAGACTCAGAGTTTAAATATAAAAGCAGGGCAAACACTAACCATTGCCCCTGAGCTTACATTTTCTATTTGTGTGAAATGAATGAATGGACTTGACAGCTGTTTGCTTAGTTGGTTTGGGAAAGAGCAGCTATTTTTCCTCTTGCTGGCTGTCTCCCCTTTTCTGTACTGTTGCCTGTATTGCATCAAGACTCCAAAGAAAAAAGAACTCGCTGAGTAGTCTAGTTTACACATGCTTGTCGCTCAAGGAAAATGTAAACTGACCCAGATTTTTTCTCTCTGACACACCCACAAGCTTGATCCTAATCATGATTATTTGGAAGTAAGATACAGTATAGGACTTATTTCCAAGTCAGATATTCTAATGCAAGATAAAAACTCACAGTCACATAGCTACAGATGCATCTTTGTATTCAATGCCATGAAACATATTGCTAATAATCTTGAACAGGGGTCATTTCGTAACTCATTAGCATAACTTATTTGCATATACCACACCCCCTGGCATCACCAGAAGTGTGTCAGAAGGCAACACCCACCGCTCAGGCTCCACTGGACTGTTTTGGATTGCTAGCTATTAGGGGGGGGGGGACGCCCAGATCTGCCCTCACAGAAGAGGGAGAGCTGGTGCCTGAAGGAGGTGGTGGGGAGCTCTGCAACTTACCTGGCTGCTTCTTGCTCCTCGTGGCCTGACTGAGGGCTGCTGGGAGCAGGGGGCGGGGCTTGTTGCATGTGCCCGCCCCCTGGGCTCCTTACTGCCGGAGCTCCACTCCTGTGCGCTCCCGCAGGAAATGACCCGATTCTTGAAGATGCAATCACACTAATGGGTCTTCAAAAGCTGCACATTTTCACAAGTCCATATAGAATTGTTTATCCTCTAGGACAGGAAGTTGGGTGTGTAGAGTGGTGGTGAGTAGGATTCTGGAAAAGAACTCACCTGCCCTTCTCTCCTCCAGCTGAATGCCTGATAGGTCTTTAGGAAGGCATATCATGTGAAAGCCTTCCAGATGTTGACAAACAAGCATCTCTGCCCACCTACCTTCTTCTTCTGAACCACTCCAGTGGTAAAAGAAGTTCCACTAGAAAGCAGAGGAGGACAGGAAGGTAACAGACTGAATTGGGGGAACCAAGAACCTTCTGGGGAGAGGGGAAGAGGATTGTCAGCAGGCCTGGAGAAAAGTGTCCTGTCCTTTTAATAGAGGCCTAATGTGTGATAATGGGCAGTGGACGCTTTTCACCTCACAGAGGTAAATAACATCATCTGGTAAATAATAGCCCATTAAGCCTCTATTAAAAGGACAGGCAATTTAGACAGCAGTTTGGCTAAGTTAAGTTCCTGACCTTCTCTCTTTGCTCAGTGTTGGACAATTCCAGGCTCACATTTAACAATTCCTACCATTTAAGCCTACCAGCTTCTCTTCGTTGGCGGTGGTGGTGGTAGGGTGGAAGTCCTGTCCCTTTAATAGAGACTTTATGGGCTCCATGACTAGAAAAGCTTCCGCTGCCCATTTTCACACATGAAGCATATTTTAAAGTGACAGGACAGTTTCCCCCAGGCCTGTTGCCAAGCTACCTACCATATGGTGGGCATCTTGCCAGGCTGCTATGGCTTTAGGAGGCCTGAGAACTGGAGCCCCAATCCTAACCTAAGTCCCATCTGTTTCCATTGACTATACTTACAGTCCATAGAAGGGTGTTCAGGAATGCAGCTTAAAACAAGCACTGGCTTTCTTCTGTGCCCATATTAATTGTCTGAAAATGAGCTTAATTCTATGCTCCCTCTAAGCTGTAGAGTCTTGTGAGCAAAAATTCTACTTTGTGAGCTACTGGCATTAAAGTTGTGAATGAGCGATTTGGCTACTGTATAAATTAGTTTGCTCTGGTGCCATCTTTCCTGAGCGGAGACAAAAATGTGTGAGCCGGAGGCTAAAAAACTATGAGCTAGCTCACACTAACTCAGCTTAGAGGGAACACTGCTTATCAGTGTGACACACTTTCATGTATGCCAGTGTGCTTACCTTTAAACCAACCTCATCACACTCACATCAATCATGCTTAGGTAAGTGGAGTACAAGTGTACCATGTTAGAAGAGAAGGCATACAGGGGTGGGTGGACAAAACAACTCCCTAATCATTCATTCCTACAGCCATAGGGAATGCCACCTTTTCTTTTCTTGGCAGATGACCCACGCCTTTAACAGTTGCATGCAAGACAGAAATTCAAGAGCCAATAAGCTTTGCCCCATTAACTCATCTGTTCAATGTCTGTCTTGTAAAAGGTAAAGGTAAAGGTTCCCTTGCTTGAAAGCCAGTCGAATCCGACTCTAGGGTTGCGGTGCTCATCTCCGTTTCAAAGCCGAAGAGCCAGCGCTGTCCAAAGACATTTCTGTGGTCATGTGGCCGGCATGACTAAACACCAAGGTGCACGGAACGCTGTTACCTTCCCACTGAAGTGGTACCTATTTATCTACTTGCACTTTCTTGCTTTCAAACTGTTGGGTTGGCAGGAGCTGGAACTAGAGATGGGAGCTCACTCCGTCATGCGGCACACTCAGGTCTCAAACTGCCGAACTACCGACCTTACACAGCCTGCAGTTCAGCATCTTAACCACTTGAGCCACCACAGCTGGCACTCTTGACCAGATGTTAAAAGGCAACTTCAGTTAAAAACTACAGACTCACCCACCTCTGCCTGAAACCTGGCAGAGTTATTGCCCAACAGAGCAGAAAAGAGGAGGGGAAGCTGACTAGTTATCTAACAAATTAGTCTGCTATATTCATAGTTTGTGAACTGTCATAACTTTGTGGATATGGGTTTGTCACCTGAATAGAATAGGGTGTTTGGCTGTAGTCAAGTGCTTGGTGGTACCAAGGGCTCAATCCTGTGTGCATTTGTTTGGGAGTAAGAAAACTCATTAAATGCAGCACAACCCACTTCTGAATTAAACCTGCATAGGCGCCAGCAGGATGCAGTTTGAAACAATGCAGCCTAAGGCTCCCTTCCAAAAGCGAAGGTCTGCAGTCACATAGTAATGAGACTCCAGCAGTTAAGGCTGCTAGCAAACATCAAATGCTGCAGGGTTTGCAGTTTGCCAGGCTACATAGAGGAGGCCAGCTAAAATCAATCTTGTATCTACAGTTTGGAGAGGTACAATCATTGCGGTTAATTTTTTATCTGCCTTCCAACAGTTGCACAACACACAGGGAAAGGAAACAACTGCAGTGTGGGAGGACTTTACTTGTTGAACTTCTGCCTGTCTCAGGACTTTACTTGTTGAACTTCTGCCTGTCTTTTAGTTGTTATATTGGCCACAGAACAGTAGAAAGTTTAACTGACTGACAAAATTTAAAGCTTTGGGGATTCAGGAATCCAAGGGAAACATCTGGAACATCCCTTGCAGCGGGAAGGAGGGAGAAAGCAAAAAATGTGCACAGTCACTGCAGCCAAACTTCTTTATTTAGTTCCTGCCTGGAGCAGTGTTGCTGACTCAGTAGGACTCCTCTGGAGCAAGCGAGCCGGAGACCGAGCCGCCCTTAATTCACGCGATGAAGAATGCCAAGTTTCAAGCCAGCCCGGACCTGGAAGGCGATGATGGCTGGGGACACCTTGACAGCATTTTTTTGACGAGACCCTATTAACTCCTCGCGGGCCCAGCAGGGGCTGACCTTGAGCCGAGACGAGCCTGTGTCAACAGAGCGGCATGCTTCGCCCCATCCCGCAGGCAGACCACCTCCTGCCAACGGAGCGATCACGGCCGGGCCAGCCCAGCGCTGATTGCTTAGCAGGCGCCTCGCCCGCGACGGGATTGGCTGCTGCTCCGCTTTCACGTGAAAAAGGCCGCGGAGCGGTTGATAAGCGGCAGCAGCGGGCTGGCGTGCGAGGGGAAAGGCTGCGGCGGAGGGACTGGGAGGCGAAAGGCGCCCTCTGTAGTGGCCCGCTAAGTAGTCACGGTAGCGCCCTGGCTCGTAAATCTGCTTTATTCGTCTCGGGTTCATTTGCTCCATGTAACGGAGCAATACCAGGTAAGCCTCACGGGTGAAATAGGATTGGTGTTACTGGAAGAGAAGACGGTTTTTGGAGGGCCAGCTCCAGTGCCTGGTAATAAAGCGGTGTCTTTGACCGGTGCTGTAGACCTACAGGCACCTGCTTTGGAGCAGATCCGGGTTGAACTCAGTGGGGCTCGATTCGAAGTGGGATCGGGGCGCTCTCTGCTTTGGGCTGGTGTAGTTGTTGCTGCAGCGCAGCAGAATTGCACTTTTTAAATGGATACTCAAGGCTGCTGGCGATTGCATGCGAGACTCTGCTCTGACTAGGCACTTTTTTGGGTAGGAAGCTGAGCCCTCTTCAGTCTGGTATGGCGATTGGTTTTTTTTGCTCTAAAACTGTCCTTAGCAGTTCCCTAGGTTTGGGTTAATCTGTTGTGGTATAATGATATATAATAACTATAAGGTCAAGTAGCAAAACTTACCTTCTGGGTTGTTTTGAAAGTGAATTGTTTCAGGAGTGGTAAATGTAGCTGTTAATCTTGCAGAGTACTGATGAAGTGGGGGGGAAGGACTGTTTGCCTGTTTCTCTTCTTTCTCCCCCATTCTCTTGGTGATTCCTCATAACCAGTGTCAGAACCTCCCAAATTCCTGTTTGTATGTGACAGGACCAAGTAGCTAAAACCTGGAAGATGTTTATTATCTCCTTTCCTGAAAAATAATCTAAGTGGCTATAGTTGGGAACTTGTTTCCCAGATTCAATTTAGGGAGCTCCAGATGCACTGGGCCTGTTATAAAGTGGCCAACACAGGTTGAACTGGGTTTTGTTTCTTTGGGTGAGGGGAAACTGCAGCAATAAGACAGTTTCCTTCAAAACAAACCAGCCATTGTAGGACTCAAGTGGTTCCTGTCATAAACTCTGCGTTTATTTTAAAGACTAAGCTAGGAAACCATAATTGGCAACAATAAAGTGAGCTTGGGGAATAGTTACTGCGGGCCTCTGGTATGTAATGTAACCAGAGTTTTTCATAGAGGTTGTCTGGTGTCTCTCGAAACATCTAGAATTGCTGAGCTTCAGGGGACTTATTTAATGTCCTTTGCTCAAATTGTTCCAGACATGGGCGAGCAGTATTTTAAATTATCTTTCAGGGAACTTCATAAAACATTATTATATGGGGGATCCTCTATGTGGCTTGTAAGAAATACCACAAAAGGGATATAGAGCTAAGTACTTGAATAGAGCTTATGAATGCTGGGTTTTATGTAGGATGAGCATATATGAAACGCCCTGGAAGGTTTCAAAGTGTTACAAGTGCTGGTTGTGACTGCTGTTATTTCATATAGCCATCTTGTATATTCTTAAACTGTGACTGCCTGCTAAATGTTAAAAATTTGGTATCTTTGATCCTTAACATAAAATCTTTCATAGATGAATAAAAATACAAAATTAAACCCTTAGTTGATTCTGAAACCAACATGGAATCTACACGAGTACCCTGAATAGCATATTACTATCGCTTCAGTTCTTTTGTTTGCTGTCATCTACAATTCTGGTTAATCTTGCTAGTTATGACTAAATTATTTAAAGCCCTGCAGCCAGCAAATCATGAATTATGAAGGGGGTGAGGGTGGGCAGGAAGTGTCTGCAGAACCTCTGCCTGTATGTATCTGATACAAAAGGAAGCCAAAAGTGCCTGTGTTTACATTTCAGAATGATCCAAGTTTTGGACCCAAGGCCTCTGTCCAGTTCCATCATGCCTGTAGATGTGGCCATGAGAATCTGTCTAGCTCGTTCTCCACCTGTGAAAAGTTTTCTCAATCCCCTTGATGAATATCGGAGAAGAAACTTTGTGGACCGATTTAAGCCTCTTAGACCATGCCTCCACGTGAAACGTGAGACCGAGTCTCAGAGCAATGACTGGAAACGCTCCGCTGGCCGAACCAAAAAGAGAGTGGTCTTCGCAGATTCTAAAGGCCTCTCTCTGACTGCAATCCATGTCTTCTCTGAATTCCAGGAGAACCCAGCATGGGATCTTCAGTTTGATATGTTACATCTTGAAGACATAACAGCTGGCTTAAAACTGCACGAGGAGAAGAACTTGATTCTGGGTTTCACTCAGCCATCAGCTGATTACTTAGACTTCCGGAACCGCTTGCAGAAGAATTTTGTCTGTCTAGAGAACTGCACCCTCCAAGAAAGAGCTGTGTCGGGGACTGTGAAAGTGAAAAATGTGAATTTTGAGAAAAAGGTGCAGGTCCGGATCACCTACAACTCATGGAAGACTTATTCCGACATCGATTGCATCTACATGAACAATGTGTATGGAGACTCTGACAACGATACCTTTTCTTTTGCTCTTGACTTGCCTCCAGCCGTTCCAACGGAAGAGAAGATTGAATTTTGCATCTATTACCAAAGTGGAGAGCGTGACTTCTGGGACAATAATGATGGGCAGAACTACAAGATTGTCCGTGCAGAATGGAAGTCTGATGGTGTCCAAGCACCAGCGTCGCCCAAGAAAGACTGTGTGATGCTCAGGTCCTCAAGAAAGGTGCATGAAACAGGCTGTGAGCAGCTCGGCAGCCCCCGGATATCTAATGGCCTTTTCCCTGAATGGCAAAGCTGGGGCAGGGTGGGAAACTCTTCTCCATATTGGTGAAGGAAATAAGCTACAGAGTTATCTCCTGTCAGCAGCGGAGCATTAACTGATCTCCTAAAAGGATTTGCTGACTGCTTAAAAAACAAACCTGACTTGTTACAGCTTCAAAAGAAAATCTAGCTCCGTCATGGACTTAAGAGAGAATTCGGATTTAGTGACACTGTCTTCTCATATAGGAAGGGACTGGATTGTCCATATATATGACTTTTTTTGACTGTCACTTGCCTGAACGAGAGAGGCTTGTTAGGAAGTAACATGATGTGTGTGGTGGCTTTGTTGTAAGGTATGATTGTGTGAGGGGGAGAGATGTTGAGTACAGAGCCACAAAAAAAAAATTGTGCCTGTTATATCAGATGTAGCGCAGACTGTGAGAGATGCTGGACTCCCAAACCTGAGGCCTAAAATCAAGGCTGGGCAAATCTTGATAGGAACACAATCCATAGTTTTAGGATTGTGGGACAGGAGTATCTCTCTTTCATTGGGACTAAAGTGAGGGGAAAGAAGGGGAAGACATGTGATGGCACTGTATTACAGGGAATGGTAAAGGTTTTTGAGTGGAGGATCTGGTGTCTAAAATGCCATGGAAAACTCTTCAGGGATCTGGAAGAAGCAAGAAGAAATGCCAGTGAAGAACTGCAGTCCTTCTAATCCAAATACTTCTCACAAAGATGCGGGAGTGGAAAAGGGTTGCCGGCTGCATGAGAGGCAAAACTTTGATGGGTGTGGCTTTCCCCGTATATGGACAGGCTACACATGTTCCATTTGGGGAGGGGAAAGAAGGCCAGAGGCAACATAGGTTGGGAATGATGCTGAGGGACTAGGCCTCTCAGTAGTTGTATTCGTGGCTGTAGAAATCCATCTTGCAAGACAATGGTTTTCATGAACACTTGTGAAACCACAATTCACAGGCAGGACAGACAGGCTATGCCTTAAAGAAAATACCATAGTTGTCCCAAGATTACACAAAGAATTTAGTTTAACAGACAAACTGCCTCTTGTAAAATGCCTTAACCTGTAGATATTGTTGGCTAGTCTATTGATTTTTGCCTTGTAAAAGTTTCTCTACTTTCCTGTTATCTTGCTCACTATTGCAGAGGTTTTTAGTAATACTTGCTCTTCTACAACTAGCTCTGCACAGCTGTGAAATAAACCTAAGCAAATAAAAGTCCTTCATATTGAAGGGGTGATAATGTAGCTGTACTTTTCAAGCTAATCAGTTTAAAACGACAGTATGCACCTTGCACATAAATAGAAATAGGGTTTTTAAAAATTCAGGCCCATACCTCATTATTTCCTCCATAGTTTTTACAGATGCAGAAAGCTTTGTGTGTGACTTCATAATAGTATTAATCCGTCCCCCAAAGATCACATTTGTAAATAATAGCACAAGACTGTAACTTTGGACACCGATTGTATTGGACAAAACAAAATGGGAGTGCACACGGATCCCTATGTTCTCTTAACCTGTTTTGTAGTGGTGGTGTTTGTCTATGGAAAATGTAAATCACAGTGTTTGCAATGCCAATACTTAGATGGGATTTGCATTGTAAAAAAGGGAAAAGCCTCTTCCACCTGTTTTTTTCTACTGTATCTCACTACTGTGTGCATTCATTATTTTTTAAATAAATTGTGGTTTTGATAATTGTGGTGGCTTTGACTTGATCGTCATGGTCCATTTCTGACTGGGAGAAGGGAAATTGGGAAGCAAAAAGTAGGGATATTTTACAGCCAGCAACAGGTTATATCTACTATTTTCTTCTTTCTGATCCTCCCTGAGCTGTCATTGGCTGACATCTGCCTTTTGGAAAGGACAGAATACCTGAAACCTCCTCAGCAACTCCCTGTGCAGTGATCTTACACACTTGTGTTATGATGTAGTCTCATGGTTAGCCAGGCCCCAATATTCTCTCTGTTGTGGTCTAGCATCGCATCGACAAGTGGAACTCAGAGTGGTGACAGGCGCACATAGGCACGAAGTTGAGAGCTGAGTCAGCACTGTACAAACCAAACACCACCCCACAGTGTCATTCCCCACCACCCCCACATTGGCCTGATGACCCTCTCGTGAAAGAGCTGTGTTCTTTGCTTGGGCTGTGCTTGCCAGGCTAAAAGGTGTGTAAGATCCTCTCTGGCTGCAGTACATGCTACGGCAATCAAATAGCAGGCCTTTTGTACACAGGCTTTGGCTGAGTGTAGCTCATGCACAAAGACCCCTGGGAGGCTGGAATTGTGCATGTCTCTGTACCCTCCTCTTGGGACACAAACCATGGGCATCATCTAGCCCTTAATAGTTACACAAACTAGGGGTTTGCATTACAAGGGCAATTCCCCCCCCCCCCTTGACCAGTCATATGGAACTTTGTTGGAGAAAATTCCATTAATTTCTCTTTGTTCTTGTGGGGGGAAAGGGAGCCAACTACTGACAGCCACCCAGGCAATATTTAGTTTAAGCAGTTTAATCGCGATACCCTTGGCTGAAAAGCCCATTTTCCAAACAGTGTATGTTGATACAGCACACCTGTCAAGAGACCCACCCTGATTCTTGCATTTTTCAATCTCAAACAGGCAGCTCCCCCCCCCCGCCATGCTTTGGCCATAGATCCAAAAGTACCTTAAAGGTTGTTGTGCAAACCCAGCAGCACTGTTAAGAGTGCAGTCAGCTGCAGCATGATCGGGGAGAGGCTTCTGCAGAACTGATTATATAAGCAATATTTTTTTTGGAGGAACACTTGGCTTAAGAATTCCCACTGGCTAAGGCATAAATTTAGCGCACTGCATCAGGTCACTTTAGGAGAAAAGGAAGTAGAAATAAAAGCACACTGCAAGCTCCTACACCTCTGTGGGATGAAGGGCAGTCTGTCATAAACATGATTTGCATGCACACAACACTTGGTGATACCATTAATAATCTAGCTCAGGACACTAAAATCTCTCTAGGTTTCCCCCTCCCTGTTTTCCAACCCCTTAAGAATGTTCCTGAATAAAAGCATAGCTTGAAGTGAAGTCTTGATGAAGCCTGATCTAGAAAAGAACTCCCCTTCCCCCTACCAAATCAAGGGGCTGAAGTTTTTTTAAAAAACGTGTCTGCTTGAGACTCCAAAGAGCTCTGACCAAAGTGAATCCTATGCTTGTCACGTGTATCTGGGAAGGTGTTACCATCTTAGGCTGTGGCTTCTGTTCTTTTAAAGCACTGGGGAACAGGAGGCAGGTCAAAGTTTCAGTGATGGAAAAATTGCTCCTCAACTGTCTATGGTCTGGTAAAAAGGCTAGGATTAATTATGCCACCCTTGTCAAACCGTCTAAACAAGGGGGGTTGGGCCTTCCTGACTTAGAAAAATATTTTTTGGCCTCACAATTGAAGACTATATTATTTTACGCTTCTCCTAAGTATGATAAATCATGGATGCCTTTAGAAACATTAGAGATTGAACCTAGTTACCTGTATGAATATATCTGGGACCAGACTAAGACCAGTCAAGTGTTGAAAATATCAAACCCATATTTGAGATTGACCCTAGACGGTTATTAGCCCCAGGTATTTCCCCTATAGCTGCATTATTTGGCCAACCATGGTTTTCACCTGGGCTGGACAAAGGTTTTTTGAGCCTGGTTAGGGATAAGGGACTTTATAGAATTTGTGATTTTTATGTCAATGGTAAAATCCTCACTCAACAACAGCTGGAAGATAAAAGTGGTGGAAGAATCCCCTGGATACAATATTTCCAAGTCCACTATACCTTAAAAGACAATGCCAGTAACTCTAATTTAGAAAGAGATTTGCTACCTTTTGAAAGATTTTTGAAGAAAAGAGGATATGATCCTAAAGGTCTATTGGCAACAATTTATGCCCAACTACACGATAGTCTCTGGAAGGGCTCTTCATCGATCATGGACTCCTGGCAGAAGGATTGCGGAGTTACCTTCACAGAGGCGCAATGGCGGACAATTTGGTCTTCCAGTATGTTTAAAACTAGAGATATGAATGTGAAACTACAACACTACAAATTATACGCAAGGTGGTACCTTACACCTGACAAGTTGTTCCATTGTAAATACAAAACTACTCCCCTGTGTTGGAAAGGTTGTGGTAATAAAGGCACATTAGTACACTGCTGGTGGGATTGTCCCCGAATTAAAAAGTTTTGGACTAAGGTCATTGCTGAAATACAGAAAATAACTAATTATGAGATTCCAAATACACCTGCATCTCTTTTGTTACATTTTTGGCCAGGTCTGAAACTGTCTAAACAGAACGAAGAGTTAATTTCTACTATGCTAATGGCTGCAAAAAATTTAATCGCCTTAAATTGGAAATTATTTAAGGTACCAAATCTATCACAATGGAGATCTAAACTGTGGGACTTGATAGTTTCAGATAAAATCGCTATGCAATTAATAGCTTTTGACAATCCGAAAGGTGTTAATAATTTTATGGAAAAATGGTTTGTGTTTTTTGAATATCTTACTGCCTGTCAACCCCGATTATATGCACTACCTCAGAAATATAGAAACTTTGTGTTTTATTAACAAGTATTGTACGTATGGAGAACATTTCTCTTCTTGTTTATTAGATGCTGTTGAAAGATACTGTATACAACTAACGAGTAATACAGGATGTAAAAATATATAAAACTCAATAAAATGCTATTTTTTAAAAAAGTTTCAGTGGTTAAGACTGAAAGCCCCTGAAAATAGATAATATGAAGGAAAAGCATGCTGCACGTTTTAATAAAAAATGCTGAAGATATTTGTATATGGCCTGGGTCCAGCCTACTTGAGGGACCACCTTTCCCCGTATGTCCCCCCAAGAGCGCTACGGTCTGGGGCCCAGAATCTTCTAACCATGCCGGGCCCCAAGGATGCTAAACTGGC